GCAAGCAGCAGCGGCGTTCGCCGCGCAGAATCGTGCGAAGCATGCGCGTAGCCGTTGCGTCACCGCCGCCCGCATCGCGTCCGCGCCGGCTGCCGCCCGGACATAGACCGCTTGCAGGCTGCGGAAGGCGCGAGCGAGGCGCGCGCGCCGGCTGGCGGCGGAGGCACGGTAAAAAGTGGCGGACGCCGCCTCGAGCGACCGGACTCGGCTGACCCACAGCCGCAAGGCTGCGTGCGTGGCCGCCGCCGACACGCGCGACCGCACCCGATCGAGGCCACGTCTCCGCCGGGCGTGGGTGGCGAACCTGTCGAGCGCGAGCGCGAGGGCGTGGAGCGACGCGGCGTGCCTTCGCGCCTCGCCGGCCGCTCGTGCAGCTGCGCTCGCACGCAAGGCGCGCAGCCCTCGCGCGGCGGCCGCAGAATGCCAGTGAGCGGCGGCGACTCGAACGCACCGTCGGCCTGCGCCACGCTCGAAGAGATGCCGCAGAGTGCGGCGCATTGCGCGGCGGTCCTTGGAGAGGAAGAAGGACACGGAGCGCTCGGCGGAGGGCGTGGAGGCTGCGAGGGACTCGACCGCCGCGCGCCACTGCCGCCATGAAGCGCAGAGCCGCAGCTGGGAGAGCGCCGCCGCGGCGAGGGCTGCCGTGCGAGAGCGGGCGTGGGAGGCAGCGACGGCCTCCATCCAGACGACGAGAGCGGCGGCGGTGCGCTGGCCAAACGCCACGGCGAGACGGCGCGACAGCGCGCGGCCGGCCGCAGCGCGCACCGCCCACAGCCGCAGCCGGTAGCGCGCCGCGAGAGCACGAGCCCAGTAGTCGGCGCGGCGGCGTACGAGCGCCGTGATTCTCGACGTGGCCGCCGCAGCCTTCCACCGACGCCACGCCTTGCGCTGCGCAAAGGAGCGGCGCAAGCGCCACGCGTGCAGCGCGAGCGTTGAGCGCTCCCACCTCGCCAGACCGCCACGCTTGACCCGGGACCAGCGGTCGAAGCAAAAGGCGAGCGCCGCGCGCTGGCGGCTGGCGACGATCAGGTCGGCCTGCAAGGGAGACGGGGGAGAGGTCAGCTTGTGGGCGGCTTGGCCACCACCGCTACGGCGCCCACCTCGACTGAAGTCCGCCGCGGCAGCGGAGGCAGCGCCCTGCGACGCGCCGCGGCGGCGGCCACGCGCAACGCGTTGAAAGCGGTCGCGCGCACCCACCCGCGCCGGTGGTGGTGAGGGGCCAGCGCCAGGAAGCGGCTACGGGCAAGCTCGTCGACGAGCCGCCGCCAGCACGCAGCGAGCGACGTGTGGCGGCTGTGGCCGGCGGCGGTCGCGGTCAGCGCCGCCAGCCGCGCGCGCCGAACGCTATTCGACTTCCACCTCCCAAACCCGGCCGCGAATGCGGCGTGGCGCCTGGCGCGGGCGCGTCCCCGCGCTCGCCTCGCCGTGACGCGCCAGCAGCCAAGGGCGGCCGCCGCGCGGCGGTGGTGCATGGCCGACTCGGCGGCGGAGAGCAGCGCCGCGAGCCGGCGGCGGCGCGCCGCGTGCGCCGTCCACTGCGCGATGCGGCTGTGGAGGATGAGTGACTGCCCGTACCCCGCTGCCACCGCGACCTGCCTCCGCCCCCTGCCGCGCAGCCATACTCTGCTGAAGGACCTCCACCCGCGTGCCAGCTGGCGGCGGCGACAAAAGCGCGCGGCGGCAGCGGAGGGCCACGGGAGAGCCAGCCACGCCGCCTCGAGCCGGCGCATGGCTCGCACTCGGCAGAGCGAACGAGCCACGAGCGACAACTGGCCGGCCGTCGACTGGGCGACGGCGAGCGCGGTGGCACAGCGGAGCCACCGGTGGAGGGACGCTCTCTGGAGGTCGAGACGCACCGCGGCCGGGTCGCTGTCGCGGCACAAATAGCCAAACGCGCGCGCCTGCACCGTCGCATCCGCCCGCCGGGCCGTCTGCAGCCGCCAGCTGCTCAGCGCTCGCCACACGGCGTCGCGCTCTGCGGCGCGGGCCTCCGTCGCTGCGGCAGCACGCTCCACTGCCGCGCGCTCGGTTGCGGCGGCGAGCTTGGCGAAGGAGCGGCGCAGCGCGAGGCTGCGAGACGCCTCCGCGGCAGCCGCCGCGCGCAGCTGCAGCCCGTGGAGCGCCGCGACCTCGATGCCCCACCGCTTGAGAGCGGCAGCTGCAACGGCGGTCCTGCCTCTCGCCACCGCCGCCCGCAGGACGCGAGTGGCGTTGGCGTGGGCAGCGAGGCGCTGCACCGCCGCATGGCTGCGCTGCCGCTTAAACAAGGTCGCCGCAATCAGCAGGCCGTTGGAGCGTCGCCAGTCGGCGAGCCAGCGGCGCCAAGGGACGGCCAAGCAGCGCCGCCGCCAGGCGCGGCCGGCGGCTGCGATGCGATCTGCCGCCGCTCCACGCGCCGCATTCGCGCGCAGCTTCCGAAGCCCACCGCTGGCGAGGCGCGCGCGGCGCATCTCGGAGATGAGGCGCCGGAGCCGAGCGTGGTGCCGCCACACGACGTACATGGCAGCGAGCAGCACGCGCCTCCTGGCCTGCAGCCCACGCTCCCGCTCGCGTCGGAGCGCCGCCGTCCGCAGCGCCGCCGCCTCCCGCGTCGCCGCCGCCGCCGCAGACTCGCTCAGCCGGCCAGATGCGCCGGCCCTGCCGGCCGACGCCCGCTCCGGCGTGAGCATGTAGTCCACCTTGGGAAAGTCCACCTTGGGGGCGGCGCCGCGGGCAGGCTGGGCGGCTGAGGCGGCCTCGGGCGCCCCCGACCCCTCGGACGCGGCAACCATGGCCACTGCGTCGTCGATGGCGGCGAGCGCGGCAGAGAGCGTCGCCGTCGACGACTTTGACGCCTGCGGCAGCGGAGAGTGCGACAGGCTCCGCGCGGCGGCGGCGAGCGCAGCAGAGCACGCGCTCGCGGCGAGGTCGCGAGACACGCTGCGGCTCTGGCTCTGGCTCTGGCTCTGGCCGCCCTGCCGCGGCGCGGGAGGGGCGAGGGCGAGGGTGAGGATACGTGGCATGAGGGTGAGGCGGGGGAGGGGGAGGGGGCGGGGGAG